ACGCCGTGAAGGACTGAAATCCTGCAGCGCCCGCAAGGTCCCCCTGCTCAAGAAAGCACATATACAGGCCCGTCTGAAGTTTGCCAATGAACATCTGAATGATTCAGAGGAGAACTGGGTGAAAGTGTTGTGGTCAGATGAGACCAAAATCGAGCTCTTTGGCATCAACTCAACTCGCCGTGTTTGGAGGAGGAGGAATGCTGCCTATGACCCCAAGAACACCATCCCCAACGTCAAACATGGGGGTGGAAACATTATGCTTTGGGGGTGTTTTTCTGCTAAGGGGACAGGACAACTTCACCGCATCAAAGGGATGATGGACAGGGCCATGTACCATCAAATCTTGGGTGAGAACCTCCTTCCCTCAGCCAGGGCATTGAAAATGGGTCGTGGATGGGTATTCCAGCATGACAATGACCCAAAACACACGGCCAAGGCCACAAAGGAGTGTCTCAAGAAGAAGCACTATAAGGCCCTGGAGTGGCCTAGCCAGTCTCCAGACCTTAATCCCATAGAAAATCTGTGGAGGGAGCTGAAGGTTTGAGTTGCCAAACGTCAGCCTCAAAACCTTAATGACTTGGAGAAGATCTGCAAAGAGGAGTGGGACAAAATCCCTCCTGAGATGTGTGCAAACCTGGTGGCCAACTACAAGAAACATCTGACCTCTGTGATTGCCAACAAGGGTTTTGTCACCAAGTACTAAGTCATGTTTTGCAGAGGGGTCAAATACTTATTTCCCTCATTAAAATGCAAATCTATTTATAACATTTTTGACATGCGTTTTTCTGGATTTTTTTGTTGTTATTCTGTCTCTCACTGTTCAAATAAACCTACCATTAAAATTATAGACTGATAATTTCTTTGTCAGTGGGCAAACGTACAAAATCAGAAGGGGATCAAATACTTTTTTCCCTCACTGTATAGCAATTGTCCATTGATTTTGTAGTTGGAGTTGGTAGTTATGGTGGATCAAATTATAGCTGAATGGTGCAACCTGATGAGGATAAATAAACTGGAGCAGAAATTGAAGGATTTTAATAAATCCTAATTCTGATTGAACACTCATCTGGTTTCAATTTAGCAGTGATTCCAGCCTTCTTGAGGCAATTAATATAGAATACTGTGTCTGGAAACAAAGGGAGGGGGGGTTATTTAATCTGAATCCCTAATACCCTATGGTGGCAGAGGCTGTACTGTATTGCTCGTGTGGATTGCCACGGCAACAGCAAGCACAGGAGTATAGGGGAACAGAGCTTCCCCTGTCCGGTACCTCGTCAAATTTCCCCGGCTCGCTCTGACTTGTACAGACATGGTGGCAGCGTTTGGGTGGGGAGTGTTCTGGTATGCGCTCAGACACACATCTGTCTGCCTGTTAGCATACACCAGACTCTGAGAATAATGAGTCTTAAAAAGAGACTCTCCTTCAAGAAAACATGGTATTTCAACACCGTAAGTAAACTTCTGAGAACTTTGTAGGAGAGTTTCACTCTTTTGTCTGGTGGTGGTGAAGGACTCAGCTGCTTTAGTCATTACTTTCCACAGTTGTGATTTGGGAGAGAAGAACTGTGAAGGTTGTGAAGGCATTTCTCTCTCTGGCCATACTGTTGTGATCGACAGAGTTCATCTCTCTTAACCCGGTTCTGGTGACACGAGCATGCCTAAACAAGTCAAGAAGTGTGATGTGATTTGAATGTGTTGAATGTTTAGGACAAAGCCTCATCTGTGTTGGAAATGTATGCATAGCTTGTGCCTACCGTAGTGTATGTTAATAGTCTATTTTCTTTCTCTCTTAACCTGATTGTGCTTGTACAATGTCGCACCGGATATGTTCTTTACGTCCGCCATGGCTGTTATTCTCTTCACTTTATCTTTAAATCTTCATCAGATATTGCCTACATTACTTCTGAGAAATCTGTGTATAATCTGTATGCCCCCTGGAGCTCTCTACCAGCACCTAGGCTATATGAAAACAAACCTCAGAACTTCAGTAAATTACACTTTAACTGTGTCTTTTCCAAATGGTGGATCATTTAAAAAAATATATAAATTTCACCTTTTTTAACCAGGTAAGCCAGTTGAGAACAAGTTCTCATTTACAACTGCGACCTGGCCAAGATAAAGCAAAGCAGTGCGAGAGAAAACAACAACACAGTTACATATGGGGTAAACAAAACATAAAGTCAAAAATACAACAGAAAATATATATACAGTGTGTGCAAATGTACCAAGTTATGGAGGTAAGGCAATAAATAGGCTATAGTGCAAAATAATTACAATTAGTATTAACACTGGAATGATAGATGTGCAAGAGATGGTGTGCAAATAGAGATACTGGGGTGCAAATGAGCTAAATAAATAACAATATGGGGATGAGGTAGTTTGACCCACGGGTGATGGATCACAGCCTTCATGGATCACTAAAGCCTGGATTGTAGATAGAAACATAGCTTTGTCAATTTTGGAGTGTCAACATTTGTGAGAATTTGCAAGACCTTTGTTGGCTCACAATGCTGAAGAGGTTTGTGAACCTGAACCACTCTACTAATGATATGTTCAAGGCTTGTCCTGCCTAGTGCCACCCATGGATAGAGCTTGTCTGCGGGGCGTCACTGGAGGTGTGAACAGAGGAAGAGAGCAGAGCAGTTGAGACAACAGAAGTGGCAGCCATTACTTGATCTCTTCACAGAGCTGTACTGCTGTGGAAGCAATAACGAGCTGGAAAACACACTGAGGTGTGTGTGTGGTCTCAGTAACCCCTGTAGGCTGCTACACACTCACACACACAGACACACACACACACACACACACTCCGTTTCGTTAATCAACAGAACTGTAACAACTTTAATAGGTGTGGCTAGAACTGTATTCTACATGATGTTAAAGGCAAGCTGACATGACTTGTGACGTGATCTGACATTTTCATTCATCAGAAATACTTCTCATATGACACATAGTAATTTAGGTGGGCAGGTATTAGGTTGGCTAACATCCGCAGTGTGTCATGATGAGATTTACTGTGACATGCTCTCCTATGAGTCGTCATGAATGAAAGATTGGTTGGGAAGGGGGTTCATCATCCTAGAGAACAGGATATGGCTGACATCTCAACTGTTTTACCACCAATGTAACACAACACAAGGCCTTGAAATGTCATGCTACTACTAGGTCTGTACAGGCTTCTACTCTAGTGACTCCCCTGTATAATTTCATGGTTTCAGTAGGGACTTTTTACGAGTTCAGACATGCCAAGACGTATTTCATAGATGATGGCTGTCTAGTTTAGAATGAAACATGGTTACTGGAGACTACTGTGTATTTAAGGGTGGTGGTTTAGGTACTTTTAGACACCAGAGCTGCTACTACTACTGAAGCAACCGTCGTTTTGAGTGGGTGCTCTCTCAATTTTTCTCCTCTCTGTTTTCTATTGACCTCTTCATCTTCTCTCTCGTTGACTCCTGACAATGTGGTCTAGCCACCACAGAAGAGGTCCAGTCTGTATGGGGTTGGTTCAGCAGCCTTGTGGTTGTTGAAGGAAGACTAAATGTTGTGGTTCTTGGTACTGCCCCCTCTTTGCCTCTGTGAGAGGGGGAAAACCCTGATGCAACATTTACATGTGGTCACCATCACTCCCAAAATGGAATGGACCACAATGGGTGCACATGACCGTGATCCTTACCCTCCATTGTCAAACAACATTAGCCAGCAACTGACTGACTGAGAATGGGCGGGTACAAAATATGTCTGGTCATATTCCTCAAGTTATTGATCAATGAGGAATGTAATTTTAGATGCTTAAATTACTTCTCCCAGCTGTGACCAATAGTAGATCCACAAAGATCTCTTGTTATCACTCCTTTAACTTAAAACATTGCTAATTAGACCTATGCATAGCAATATATTAAAGCCATTTGATGTTATGTTGATGACAACTTTTTAAATCTCTTCAAAGTCTCTAGATCTGATTATATTCCACAATATTGTTGAAATCCATTGAAATCCAAAAGCAGGGCTTCAATTATCTCAAGCATTTGCTGGAAGTGCCCTGTCTAGACATATATGCCAGCACATTCACAATTTTAAGTGGCTTCTCGAATGATTGTCGGCAATCTCTCTTTCTTAATGAATCCTCCAACACACTGATTTAAAGAGTGTTCTTGGAAAGAACGATGCTCCACTCATTTCCTTTGCGGCATGTGAAATTTATTTGTAATTTTTTAGCTCTAAACCTTTATTTTATAGCCTAACTAAACTGATGTTAACAGGTTTCCCTGGCTTTCTGGCATTCTCCTTCCAGCAATGTCTTCTAATTCTGTTTGCCATGTGAATATATAAAATCAAGTCAGGCATTGGTTGTGTGAGAGCATTCCGCTAATAAATATGCCAGCTATGAAATACCAATACTTTGGTGAAATGCAATTGTTGAGTCTTTCCAAAGACGCTTGTTGGAATGACTGTTCACTCTGTGACCTATCGTCTTGTATAGATTTTTATAGCCCACTCAGCCCCTGAATTAGCATGTGAAAATTGGCCCATTAGTGCAAGCAACGGCTGCTTAAGTGGCTCCTCATAATTACTTCTGATCTGATCATGACACCAGCGAGAGGGATTGTGCTACTTCTTAGTCTTTGTGTGTGTGTGAAAGAGCAAAGAGAGAAATAGAGTGTGTGTCTGTGTGTGTGTCTCTCTCTCTTTCTCTGAGTAGGTTCTTGTGTGTTCAAGACGTGAGTTATAGGTGGTGAGTGTGTGTGGTGAGGGGCGGGCCACGATCCTGAGGTGTGAACAGCGGTGTGTGTGCAGAGGCTCTTGGTCCACCCACATCCCACATTAATGGCCCTGATTAGAGAACAGGGGGCCCTCCCCTTGCAGTAGCAAGGACACATTCACACTGGTGGGATGTCTGGAGGGACACTGTTTCTCAGGCTCCAGTTGTTCCATGTCTCAGAGCAGGAGTAGGTCATGAGGGCAGCTTCTCACTCATGTCTTTCTTTGTTCTCTTTCAGTCGACTGCTTCCTCAGATGCTGGTGAGTACATTTATTTTTCTTTTCATTACACTCATTCTGACATTTAGCTGCTTTTTCTGTGATATCAAAACACAGCAAAGAGATTTGTTGCATGCACCTGTATGTACTAGCTGTAACTAACTGACAAAATGAGTTTTAAGTTGAGTTCAACTAAGAGTTCCAAAACAAGCACGGGGAAAATGGGGCGTTTTGTCCCTCCATACACTCTTAGAAAAAAGGGTTCCAAAAGGGTTCTGTGGCTGTCTCCATAGGATAACCCTTTTTTTGTTCCAGGTAGAACTATTTTGGGTTCCATGTAGGACCCTCTGTGGAAAGGTTTCTACATGGAACCCAAAAGGGTTCTACCTGGGACCAAAAGGGTTCTACCTGGAACTAAGAGTGGTTCTCCTATGGGGACTGCCGAATAACCCTTTTTGGTTCTAGATAGCACCTTTTTTTCTAAGAGTGTAGACCTTTTTGTAGAACAATAATGGTCACTTTTGTGTGTATTTGTCTTGAATATGGCTGTCTCTTGTTTCCAGTTGTATCATTATTATGCTTTCCACAACACGCAACTCTGAGGTTATTGAATAAAACAGGCTCACAGAATATGATGTCAACCTATTTAATTTACGACTTTAACAAAAGGCGCTTGTGCGGGGGTTTTAGGATAGGGTTTGTGCTTTGGTGTTTGCTGTCTGTTCCCCCTTTCACAGACGTTTAATAATGTTTGCCGAATGCCACGGTCAATGGAGCTTCGGCGTTGCCACTGCTTACTGCTTTTTCTGAGGATGTGGTGCAGACACGCTATGCTATTTACCCTGAAAACCATCTCATTAACAAAGCAAAACAGACCCCATATTTGCTCTCTGCTGGCAAACACAATATTCCCATCACCCAAATCTAATACAGCTAACTCCAAACCAAATATCTTGTCAACTCCAAACCAAATATAATGTTGCCAAGGTCAATTGGCAGAGTTGAAATAAAAATATAAACAAATGTCTGGGACAAATTGATTGCCATGATAGAAAATGGAATACGACTCTTGCGTCTTTAAATGGGAGATGGAATGGCCTGTAAAATCAGCTTGTTTTATGCCTTTACAACTCTGCTGGCACATGTACTGATTCAGCTGGGGGAATTGGCTAACAAAGGCATGAGATGCTATAGTTAGACTGCATGCCGAGGCATTACTCACAGCATTGTAAAGTAGTCAGTCACGAACAGTCATGATTTGGTGTCCAAGGTGTCATGTAATATTTGCAATAGCATTAAGAAACTTTGCTTGATAAACCTCAATTGAAACTACATCTATTTGTAATTCCTCCTGTGCTTCTGCATGCTTATCAGTGATCAGATACCTCGGTGCTGGAGGGTATGGATTAATCTTAGATTATTCTCAGTGTAGTGTTTTCAGAAAACATACAGAGGCTATTCAAATTCCTCAATTTTGTTAGCATTGGCAGATGCTAACAAACCCTGCTGTCTTCCTTTTGTGTTTTTGCTATTGTGCTTTCTCTGATTGGTGGGACTTCCAGCCATGAAATTGCCATCTGGTGCCATGATAGCAAGTACTAACTGTGAGTCCTTAGAAGTACTTGTTTAAATCGGCCTAGTTGTCTAGATCCACAGCTCCGAAGCTATTCCCTTCTTTTTGGTGGTTGTAGAGATGTAGAGTAATAGCTTTGTTTCCCATCTTTTAGAGTATAGGGATCATGTCTCCCCGTGTGTGTCCCTGAATTACTTCTCTGTTGTAGACGATGGTGGCAGGGTGTAGTATAATGGTGATGGGTTGCAGCACTATAAGGGCTGTTGTTGTCAGAACAGTCACTGTCACTAACCCCTTTTCCCCTAACCAATCAATCAATCAAATGTATTTATAAAGCCCTTTTTATATCAGCAGATGTCACAAAGTTCTTATACAGAAACCCCGCCTAAAACCCCAAATAGCAAGCAATGCAGATGTGGAAGCATGGTGGCTAGGAAAAACTCTCTAGAAAAGCAGGAACCTAGGAAGAAACCTAGAGAGGAACCAGGCTCAGAGGGGTGGCCAGTCCTCTTCTGGCTGTGCCCGGTGGAGATTATAAGAGTACAGTTTTTCGAGATGTTCAAACGTTCATAGATGACCAGCAGGGTCAAATAATAATCACAGTGCAACAGGTCAGCACCTCAGGAGTCAATGTCAGTTGGCTTTTCATAGCCGAGCATTCATAGGTCGAGAGAGCAGGTGCGAGAGGGAGAGGGAGGGAGAAGGTCGAAACAGCAGGTCCGGGAGAAGGTAGCACGTCCGTTGAACAGGTCAGAGTTCCATAGTCGCAGGCAGAACAGCAGAAACTGGATCAGCAGCACAACAAGGTGGACTGGGGATAGGGACAGCCAGGAGTCATCAGACCAGGTAGTCCTGAGGCATGGTCCTAGAGCTCAGGTCCTCCGGTAGGGGAAAGAGAGAGATGGGAGAATTACAGGGAGCATACTTAAGATCACACAGGACACCAGATAAGACAGGAGAATTATACCAGATAGGACAAACTGACTCTAGCCCTCCCGCACATAGACTATTGCAGCATAGATACTGGGGGGGTCGGGGGACACTGGCCCCGTCCGACGATACCCCCGGACAGAGCCAACCAGGCAGGATATAACCCCACCCACTTTGCCAAGACGTGATGCACCCCTCCTAGGGACAGCATGGGAGAGCACTAGCAAGCCAATGACTTAGCCCCCGTAATAGGTTCAGAGGCAGAGAATCCCAGTGGAGAGAGGGGAGTTGGCCAGGCAGAGACAGCAAAGGTGGTTCGTCACTCCAATGCCTTACCGTTAACCTTCGCAGTAAAGACCTAAAGATTGCGTCTCTCAGATGGATTGGCAGACCATTCCATAAAAATTGAGCTCTATAGGAGAAGGCCCTTCCTCCAGCTTTTGCTTAGAAATTCTAGGAACAATAAGAAGGCCTGCGTCTTGTGACCGTAGCATACGTGTAAGTATATACGGCAGGACCAAATCAGAGAGATAGGCAGTAGCAAGTCCATGTAATGCTTTGTAGGTTAGCAGTAAAACCTTGAAATCAGGAAGTCAGAGGCTAGCACTGGAGTAATATGATATAATTTTCTGCTTCTAGACAAGATTCTAGCAGCCGTATTTAGCGCTAGCTGAAGTTTATTTAGTGCCTTATCTGGGTAGCCAGAGAGTAGAGCATTGCAGTAGTCTGATCTTGAAGTGACAAAAGCAGGGATTGTTCTTTCTGTATCATTTTTAGACAACGTTTCTGATTTTTTGCAATGTTACGAAGATGGAAAAAAGTTGTTCTTGAAATATTTTTTATATGTTAATCACAGAGAGATCAGGGTCCAGAGTAATGTCAAGGTCCTTCAGTTTTATTTGAGTCTACTGTACAACCATCGAGATGAATTGTCTGATCAAACAGCATATTTCTTTGTTTCTTGGGACCTAGAACTAGCATCTGTCACGTTCGTCTAGAACAGATGATGAGAACCAAGGCGCAGCGTTGCAGGCAAACATACTCTTTAATAGAGACACGATCAAAACAACAAACGATACGTGACAGTTCACGGTCAAACATAAACAGACTTGAAACAAAATCCCACAAACACGAATGAAAACAGACTGTTTAAATATGGCCCCCAATCAGAGACAACCAGCTGACAGCTGACACTCGTTGCCTCTGATTGGGAGTCACTCAGGCCAACATAGAAATGAGCAAACTAGAACTCCCAACATGAAATAGAATACCTAGATCTACACACCCTGGCTCAACATAACAGTGTCCCCAGAGCCAGGGCGTGACAGTACCCCCCCCTAAAGGCGCGGACTCCGACCGCGGCAACTAAATACCACAGGGGAGGGACCGGGTGGGCACTCCGCCTAGGCGGCGGATCCGGCTCCGGGCCTGATCCCCGCTCCCTCTCCAACCCCCCAAAGTACCCCTGGTCCGGTCTGGCCCCGCTGGCCGGAGCTGGACTGCACACTGGTGGAGCGGATTTCTCTAGCTCCGGCGTGAAGCATCTGACCGGTGCCGGACCAGCCACCGGTGGAACAGGCACGGGCCGTGCCGGACTGACGACGCACACCACTGGCTTGGTGTGGAGAGCAGGAGCGGGCCGAGCCGGGCTGTCGAAGCGCACCCCTGACTTGGTGCGGGGAGCAGGAACGGGCCGAGCCGGGCTGACGAAGCGCACCACTGACTTGGTGCGGGGAGCAGGAACGGGCCGAGCCGGGCTGACGAAGCGCACCACTGACTTGGTGCGGGGAGCAGGAACGGGCCGAGCCGGGCTGTCGAAGCGCACCCCTGACTTGGTGCGGGGAGCAGGAACGGGCCGTGCCGGGCTGTCGAAGCGCACCACTGACTTGGTGCGAGTGGCAGGAACAGGCCGGACCGTACTGGGAACACACACCACTGGCCCTACGTGGGGATCAGGAACAGGCCGGACCGGACTGGCAACACACGCCAGTACCTCTCGCAGTGCCTCTACATCCTCCTTCCCCCTGGTGACCAGTGACTCCCGTAACCTGGCGGCCTCCTGCTGCCCCGTCGTCCACGGCGTTAGCCCCCCCCTAAAAAATTTATGGGCTTCACTCCTACCCGTGGCCAAGGCCTCCATCCCTCTTGCCAGACTCGCACTCATCTCCTCCCAAGTCCATCCTCTCTCCTCGTCACGCTGCTTGATCCAGTAGAGGTGGGATTTTCTGTCACGTTCGTCTAGAACAGATGATGAGGACCAAGGCGCAGCGTTGCAGGCAAACATACTCTTTAATAGAGACACGATCAAAACAACAAACGATACGTGACAGTTCACGGTCAAACATAAACAGACTTGAAACAAAATCCCACAAACACGAATGAAAACAGACTGTTTAAATATGGCCCCCAATCAGAGACAACCAGCTGACAGCTGACACTCGTTGCCTCTGATTGGGAGTCACTCAGGCCAACATAGAAATGAGCAAACTAGAACTCCCAACATGAAATAGAATACCTAGATCTACACACCCTGGCTCAACATAACAGTGTCCCCAGAGCCAGGGCGTGACAGCATCTCTGTTTTGTCCGTGTTTAAAAGCAAAACATTTGCCCCATGCACTTCCTTATGTCTGAAACACATGCTTCCAGGATAGGCAATTTTGGAGCGTCACCATGTTTCATCAAAATCTACAACTAGCTGTGTGTCGTCTGCATAGAAATTGACATTGTGTTTCCGGATGACCAAGAGGTAGCATATATAGTGAAAACAATAGTGGTCCTAAATAAAACAGAACCTTGAGGATTACCGAAACATAACATTGATTTCTCAGAAGACAAACCATCCACAGAGACAAACTGAAATCTTTCTGACAGATAAGATCTAAACCAGGCAAGAACTTGTCCGCGTAGACCAATTAGGGTTTCCAATCTCTCCAGCAAAATGTGGTGATTGATGGTGTAAAAAGCGGCACTAAGGTCTAGGAGCACGAGGGCAGATGCAGAGCCTTGGTCTGATGCCATTAAAAGGACATTTACCACCGTCAAGAGTGCAGTCTCAGTACTATGATGGGGTCTAAAAACAGACTGGAGTTTTTTGTATACATTATATGTCTTCAGGAAGGCAGCTTATTTTTTTAATGAGAGGAATGGGAAATTTGATATAGGCCAATTTGTTTTTTAAATGTTCCGGGTCAAGGTTTGGCTTTTTCAGGAGAGGATTTATTATTGCCACTTTTAGTGAGTTTGGAACACATCCTAACCACTTTTCTATCCCTTTTCTGTCTCTCCAGACTATGGTGGTGGTGTGCAGCTCCAGGGCTGCTGCAGCCAGAGCAGTCTGAATAGCAACAGCAGTCTGCCCGGCGCCGGCAGCCACACGAGGCTGTCAGAGCGCCGGGTGGCCAGTTGGGCCGCCTGCTTCGAGCGCCTGCTCCAGGACCCCATCGGCGTCCGCTACTTCTCAGTACGTACAGTAAAGAACACATTTTAGTTCACTGGGAGTTTTAGTTTAGTTATGGGATCTGAAATTCAACGAAATGAACAGTTCATTATCTCTCTCATTCTCCATTCGTTAGATGAAATCAATACTTGTCTACCTCAGATGTCCAAATGTGTTCTGTGGAATAGAATTAGCAATACACTTTACAACTAATCAACAACTGGGGAATTGAGTTTTAGTTTGCATGTTACGAAATGTTACAGTTAACTCTCGTTCTCCATTCTGTTGGATTAAATCGATACGAAGCTAACTAGACATTAAAACATGATCTTCTGTGGAATAGAAGCAATAGTTAACTATATAGCCAATCAACACTGGACCAGAACACTCTCCAGGCTTATTGCAGGTGTGATAAAGCTGTGGCTTGTGTCTCGGCAGGAATTCCTCAAAAAGGAATTCAGTGAGGAGAATATCTTGTTCTGGCAGGCCTGTGAATACTTCAGTCAGGTACCTGCAACGGACAAAAAGCAGGTAAGCTTATTCCCCTTACTCAAGACCAAACAATACTTTCCTATCTAGTCCAGTTCAGAAGTCCATATAGGTTTTAGATGTCATGGACTGGATAGAAAAAGCCCTCCATTGTGAGGGTTGATCATGGCTTAAAGTTAAAAACCATTCCCCTTTATACCATTGGGTTATGTCATGGTTGTGTGTGTTTATAAAACCTCTTCCTCTCCTCCCCAGCTATCCCAGAGGGCGGGGGAGATTTACAACAGCTTCCTGTCCAGTAAGGCCACCACGCCGGTCAACATCGACAGTCAGGCCCAACTGGCCGACGATGTACTCACCTCCCCATGTCCAAACATGTTCAAGGCTCAGCAGTTACAGGTGAGAGGACCAACTGCCTACTAAATGTTATGTTATACCCTAACCGTAACCCCTAACACTAAACCTAAACCCAAGCCTAAAATAACCTTTTTCCTTGAGGGGACCGGCGAAATGTTCCCACTTGTCTGAATTTTCCTTGTTTTAGGAATTCTGGTCCCCACAAGGATAGTAAAACCAAAAACACACACACACACACACACACACACAGCTAGGAGCAGCACAGTGTCAACTGCAGTGCAGCGCTGCTGGAACATTGTTATGATTCAGTGCTATGTGTGAATGTTCTTTTACTGTTATGCCATCATTTATTTTTCCAGTACACAAGTTTTAAGGCCCAGTGTCCTTTTTTCAACCATCTGCCTGTTTCCAAAAGGGCTGTTGTGCGTTAGGGCCAAACACAAACTAGCATATACCCCCCCCCCCCACACACACACACACACACACTCTCAGGCCTGTACATTGTTGTTGTAGGTCTGTACAATGTTGATACAAATGTGACCGAATCATAGCTGTTACAACACCTGTCATAACCGTTTGTGACCCTTCATAAGACCAGACCCTTTTCTCTCCCCATTTTTTTCTGAAGATCTTCAACCTGATGAAGTTCGACAGCTACTCCAGGTTCCTGAAGTCTGGCCTGTACCAGGAGTGCATGCTGGCCGAAGTGGAGGGACGACCATTACCCGACCCTTACCAGATCCCCTGTAGCCCCGCTCCATCCAAGCACAGTGCCAGCTCCGGCCACTCCACGCCGAATAAGGTACCCACCACTTAACAGCCAAAAGGGTATCTGCTATTGTCTTAGTAACCACCTTAGCTGTTTGTGTAACTCGCCTGTGGGATGCACATTTTGTGTTGTAGCCAGTACAGGTGTTTGTTAATCTTCAAAACATCAGGGTCGTATTCACAAGGTACCAAACGGAAGAAAACTGAGCAAAATTGGGAGGGACTACCTGAACTCGTCCAATAGGAAACTCTAGTTTTCCATTAGAAAACATTTTTCGCTGCTAAATAATTTCCATAGCCAAACGGTTTTCTACGGTATGCACTAATGTATCGACCCAGGTGTTAGACAGGTTGTTTGAACTGGGTGTTTTGTGGTCCAATAGGAGGCCAAGAATCAGAAGTCAGGGAGGTCACTGAACGAGGACCCCGGAGAAGAGCACGATGAGCATAAGAAACGGGGCATCTTCTTCTCTTGGTCCCGGAACCGGAGCTTCGGGAAGGGACCCAAGAAAAAGGACATCGGAGAAATCAACCTCGGTGAGCAACTCTCAGTCATAGAATGAGTCACAAGGAGTTAATCCCCCCCGTGAGGGAACTTCTTGTGTATGGTTTCAATATAGACTTTCTGTCATGCATTATGGTGGTAGATCTTTGGTCAGGCAATACACTGCACTGCATCGTGTGCTTTACATTTGTTACGATGAAAGATGAACTTCTAAAGCTGCTTTCAAATGTTGTTTTGAGCTTCATCTGATTTATGTCAATGGCGATGTTATGCAATTGTTTTCCTTTCATGCAAGGATATTAAGTGTGTTTTATGTGTAGTTGAGGTGTGATGATGCATGGATTGTTGGTGTATTTTCTATGTAGTTGTGATGTGAGTCGTATCTTAACTGTGGCGATGTTATGCAATTATTTTCAGTTGATGCATGGATAGCAGCTTGAGGTTTATGTGTAGTTGTGGTGTGATGATGCATGGATATTAATTGTGTTTTCTGTGTATATGTGAAATGAGTTGTATCCTAACTGTGGCCTCCCTGTCCTTCCTCTGTTGAGGAGACTCCTGGGGCAGCAACGGTCGGAGGGAATCACAGGGCTCCTTGTCCTCGGGTGCTAGTCTGGAGCTTGCCACTTCCTGTTCAGCGGGCAAGACCGAGGTAAGATCCTGCTGCACGGCCAGGCTAGGTCACCATGGCAACACTGAACCAAGATAGCTCTGTAGTAGAAGCATCAGTTATACAGATCATGACTCTGTTAGTTTTATGGCATTTTTGCAGAAATTCCGCCTGACAAGGGATTTGGGTATACCGTTGTATGGATGGTTACAGGTGTTATACTATATAATACATGAGTTGAAGGGGGTTCATTTCAAGGTTCAGATGTTCAATTTAGATTTTATTATCCCATAGGGAAATTTGGTTTGCAGGCAGAACGAACATCAAACACTACATACAAAACATAGAGACACTGTTGTGGTTGCAGTTTTAGCTCTTGGTCTTTTCTCTTGCTTCCATTGAGTTCTATCATCTCTGACTATGGTTTGACATGGTATTCCCGTGCAGGGGGACAATCGTCACTCGGTGCCGGTATGGGAGAGGGTAAGGGAGTGCTCCTCCAAGGTCTGCAGCATGACCCTGCCGGACGGCTCGTGCTCCTCTGTGACCCTGCGGCCGGGGGCCACCATCAGGGAGGTTCTCCGGGACCTCTGTCAGAGCCTCCGCATCAACATGGCTGCCGTAGACCTCTTCCTGGTGGGAGGAGAGAAGGTGAGGGAAACTCACGATGGTTCCTAGCACAGTAACTGTTTCCCTTACTGTGCATCTCAATGTGGATTTAGAGTGAAATAATGCATGTAATGCAGATTCATTGATGTATTAAGTGGTTAGTTCCCGCTGGGGCCACCCATCCGTTAAAATGAATGCACACATGTATGAAAGTCACTTTGGATAAAAGCGTCTGCTTAATGGCATATATTATTGTTTTAGTAAGGCATCACTTCTGGCTTTGTGAGTAGGTTTTCATGTTTTTTATTATTTTTAGCCTTTGGTGCTGGACCAAGACTGCATGACCCTCAGCGCACGGGACCTCAGAATGGAAAAGCGCACCCTATTCAGGTAAAAGATACATCTGTACCTCCCTATATCTTTATGTCTCTATATCTCTCTCTATTTCTTCCTCCCAGTAGAATCTGAAAAAAATCATACAATCGTGTTACAGAAAGTATCTGCATATTTATTTTCCCTCTATTTTTAGGTTGGACCTGGTACCCATTAATCGCTCCGTGGGCTTGAAGGCCAAACCCACCAAACCCGTCACCGAAGTCCTCCGTCCCGTCGTGGCGAAATACGGCCTACACCTCAAAGATCTGGTGGCCAAAATAGTACGTTGGTGACTGGCTGGGTCGCCTCAATGTTTTCTGTTTGCAGCTGTGTGTCCAACCAAACCCAGCTCTTCTGTAGAGCATGTAAAAGATGACAATGTCACTGGGTGGAGTCTCATTGGCTTGGAAGGGGGAAGGAACCGCATCCTCTTCAAATGTTACTGGGTAGTTGGCTCATTCTGACTCAAACGGCCTCTGAAGATGCAAAGAGAAAGGGCTATAATTATGAATGACGACACTCCTAAAACATGCAGTTAGTTGGTTTATTTCGGTCCTGTGGTGGTTTTCCAAGCATTACCATAGTATTACACAGTAAGCTGAAAGCCACATTCTAAATGGAGCGAAGGCTTCCATATCTTACATGGTTAATGATAGTACACAGAAGTTGTGACGATACGCTAAAGTAGCAACTTGTCTATCTGGCATGTCAATATGGCATCATGGTCATGCGAAGAAATCGATGGGAAACATGCTAATAGGCTAAAATGCTTGCAAACGAACATGCTAAAACACAGGAGCGTCATGCACCCCAAAAATCTGAGGGGGCACAAAGTACGTCAGGATGGCTGCATATCTAATTATACCTCTTGAGCTGTCTCTATCATCCTGACTGGTGGTTCTTCTGGGTAAAAAATATGAGTCTTATTCAGTACATTTAGTTATTGCTTGCTTTTCTAAAGTCTACCAACCTTGCCAGCTAAGATAGTTAGACAAGCTAGCTACTCTAACTTGATTGATAGCCTGAAATGGCTTCTTGGTAGCTAGTTATGAGGTTGGGACATTGTCAACCTATCTGGGCTAGCTAAAGCCAACTCCATAAAATTGCTAAGTGGCTAGTAGTATTATAGAGAAAAAACAATAAGAACAAAAATATACACTACATGACCAAACGTATGTGGACACCTGCTCGTCGAACATCTCATTCCAAAATCATGGGCATTAATATGGAGTTGGTCCACCCTTTGCTGTTATAACAGCCTTCACTCTTCTGGGAAGGCTTTCCACTAGATGTTGGAACATTGCTGCGGGGACTTGCTTCTATTCAGCCACAAGAGCATAGTGAGGTTGGTCACTGATGTTGGGCGATTAGGCCAAGCTCGCAGTGGGCGTTCCAATTCATCCCAAAGGTGTTTGATGGGGTTGAGGTCAGGGCTCTGTGCAGGCCAGTCAAGTTCTTCCACACCGATCTCGACACACCATTTATTATTATGTATGGACCTCGCTTTATGCACAGGGGCATTGTCATGCTGAAACAGGAAAGGGCCTTCCACAAACTGTTGCCACAAAATTGGAAGCACAGAATCGTCTAGATTGTATGCTGTAGTGGTAAGATTTTCCTTCTCTGGAACTAAGGAGCCTAGCCCGAACCATGAAAAACAGCCCCATACCATTATTCTTCCTCCACCAAACTTTACAGATTGGCACTATACTATAGGTAGCGTTCTCCTGGCATCCGCCAAACCCAGATTTGTCCATCGGACTGCCAGATTGTGAAGCATGATACATCACTCCAGAGAACGCGTTTCCACTGCTCCAGAGTCCAATGGCGGCAAGCTTTACACCACTCCAGCCAACGCTTGGTACTGCGCATGGTGATCTTAGGCTTGTGTGTGGCTGGTCGGCCATGGAAACACATTTCATGACGCTACCGACGAACAGTTATTGTGCTGACGTTGCTTCCAGAGGCAGTTTGGAACTCGGTAGTGAGTGTTGCAACCGAGGACAGACGATTTTTACATGCTACGCGCTTCAGCACTCGGCAGTCCCGTTCTGTGAGCTTGTGTGGCCTACCACTTCGTGACTGAGCCGTTGTTGCTCCTAGACGTTTCCACTTCACAATAACAGCAATTACAGTTGACCAGGGCATACCTAGCAGGGCAGAAATTTGACAAACTGACTTGTTGGAAAGGTGGCGTCCTATGACGGTGCCAAGTTGAAAGTCACTGAGCTCTTCAGTAAGGCCATTCTACTGCCAATGTTTGTCTATGGAGATTGCATGGCTGTGTGCTCAATTGTATACACCTGTCAGCAATGGGTGTGGCTGAAATAGCCAAATCTACTAATTTGAATGGGTGTCCACATACTTTTGTTTATATAATGTATATAACAGGACAAATCTGAGGGGGCATGATGACTCTGCTAAAACGCTGTGTTGTGTTTTGACAGAGTGGAGAAACGGAGCCCCTAGACCTGGGGGCGCCCATATCCAGCCTGGACGGCCTGCGTGTGGTATTGGAGAGAGCAGACCCCATTGCCTCAGGGAAAGGTAAGACTGCCCATCACACCGAACACCAAAATTTGCACTAAGACAGAGATGAGAGACAGATAATGAAGAAAGCCACCATTCCAACTTCTACAGTGACCTAACCAGATCTGTTTGTCTTGCCAAGTCCTATGGTCATTGATTTGGCATGATGAACACTCAAACCCCCCAAACAGCCACCAAGATAGTGGCTGGAGAAATCCAATCCAATTCCTCCAATGTTGGCCTTGCACTTCAGCCCATCTGTTTCCAGGAATTCAAACAGCTCTCGTAATCAATGTCCTGTTTTGTCGTCCCCACTGACTTCCAGTGATAAACAAAGATATCAGAGTTAGGAGGACATGTGGGATGATTCATTGGCTCCTATTTACCTCACTGTTGTTTCTTTCTCTCCATAGACTCTAAGTCCAAGTCAGGCTCCTTGAAAGCACACCCGCCATCATTGACCACCAAGAGTCTTTCTGCAACAGTAAGGAAACCACCATCTTCCTCCTCCTTTTATCCCTGTTTTCACTTTCTCAAGTCTCCTTGAAGTAACTAAATGTGCTGTAACTCCCCTGCTATGCTGCTTCTTAACAATTGAATGTCACATAATAATTGCTCAAGTGCTCTACTCTACTTTGTTCCTGGCTGGTGTCGTGTTGTTTCTTGCTTAAATGCTGGCTGTAGCTGACTGGCTGACCTCCCACTTTGTAGTTCAGCCTCCAGGTCATCTTTGTAGTTGCGATCCGACCTTGTCTCCTAGGGATATTACATTCATCTGATTTACTAAGAATAAAAGAAGCGTACAAATAAACAACAAGCATCAAAGAAACGACAAGCTCGTGTTTTATGGTTGTTTTTTGTGTTTCCTATAGTTCTAAAAATAACAGGGGCACAGGTGCGAACACTTAAGTAAGTCTGCCCAGGATGTGTTGTAGTGGTGTTGGTACAGGGCATGCACACCCTATTCCCTCACCCCCTTAACGGAGTGCGTTGTTATTGTTGCGTCTGCAGGGAGATGACAGGTCGTCTGGAAAGGCAAGCGGACCAGATCCGTCGCTCCCTGTGGAAAAGAGAAAGCCGAAAAAGATTAATATAGATGAAGCTGAAGGTAAATCCCCCTCTATTTCCAACGTGCTGTTGCTTCTCTGAGCTTTGCTTCGCCGCATCACTAACACCAACTGTAAAAGAAGCCTTCAACCTTCATGGTTATCTGTCAGTGCAGCGTGGGACTGTGCACGTTAAATTAACTAATCCCCTTTTTATTTGACCTATTTTCTTGTTCTTTGGGAGGGTGTTAGATAGGGTTGCAAAATGATGGTACCTTTCTTTTCTGGGAAACTTTTTTGGGGAAAGTTACCGGAATTTTGCAACCCTAGTTTTAGGAATATGAAGTAACTCTACTGCTTTCTCTCTCTTTAGAATTCTTCGAGCTCCTGAGCCGGGCGCAGAGCAGCCGGAGAAATGACCAGAGAGGCCTCCTGAACAAAGAGGACCTGGAGTTACCTGACTTCCTGCGGTTAATCCCCGGCTCCCCCTCCACTCTCTCCCTAGACGTGGCCTGCTCCACCCCCACCTCCATCAAACAAGGCCAGGGGGCGGGCAGGGAGAACGGGGTTGGCGGTGCCCCTGCCCGCGGCCCCCTCAACGCCAGCCTGCGCTCTGAGAGCCTGGACTCCTCCCCCAGCAACACCAACGGACACTCCCACTCCGCTGCGGCGCGCCGAGCGCTACTGCCCCCGCCCCGCCGCCCCGTCCCCCCCTTCAGCGCCGCCATCTCACCCATCCCTCGCCCCTCGGAGTCTAGAGGCCCGGGCCTTAGGGCGCTGGAGGAAGACACCCACGCTGACCTGACCCTGGTGGGCGAGGGAGACATCACCAGCCCCAACCACACCCTGTTGGCCCCCGCCCCTGCGCTGCTGTCCCACGAGGGCAGCCTGCCTGAGGTCAACTTCACCCCTCCTTTGCCCTGCGCCCACTCCTTCCATGATGGTGGTGGGAATGGCCAGTCCAGCTCAGGTATTTCCACAGTGTGACTATGCATTAGTGTGTTGGTGTGTGTGTGTGTGCGTGTATGTGTTTGTGTGTGTGTGAGAGACAGAGAGTGTGTGATCGTGTGTGTGTCTGAGGGTGATCTGACCTCCAACGACAACTCCTTTTATACTGACTTCAATGCACTTTATTTACAACTGAAAATGTATTCTCTCTCAGTAGTACCCCAGTCATTTTTACTCCTTTGAATATTTTCTAATGAACATAGATAGCGTTGTTTATGTGGTCACTTTCAATAGTAAGTTCAGCTCAATTGTAAATAGTGATGTATATATTTTGAAATGAATTACATTTATATTCGCACACCACTGAACTGATGGGTTTTAGTGATAGTAAACCTTAGAACGTTTCATATTGTTGTACCACAGAGGATATGAGGATGCAGATTTGACCCAGGTGAATAAACACTCAGTTCATAATGCCTACACACTGTAATGCTGTAATAATCAACATGACAGTTGTCATTACAATCCATGAAAAATAGACATACTATAATTTGACAGTAACCAATTGTAGCGAGCTACAATTACCATGCAAGTGTGAATTGTTTGATTGATTGATTCAAATAGAGAACCTGGAATAGATTGCAATGAGTCACAGCCTTTCATGTCAATAAAAGCTCAATGCCAGCATTATGAATGTATAATTGGAGTAAGGTCCTAAACCTAGTACATAGCTACAGACAAGATAAAACGTAAGCAGTTATGAAATTGTTATTTGAAAAGATGATCATGATTGTTCTTAACTGCCTGTACTTATTTTAATCGAAAAGCTGTGTTTTCTTCCATCCCATCCTCTAATGCAATGCAATTCAACAATTTAGATAATAAATAAGAGTTTTTTTGCTCTGATTTTACTCTATCTGGTAATATATAGAAGGAAAACTGAACCAGTTTCTTTACAAGATGTTGATAATTATAGACTCCTTGATGAAAAAACAGTAATGATAGAGGTCCTTTTGAAATGAACGTTATCATTGTTGAATTGCATGTCACACTCTGTCTGGAATCATCCTATCCCTCTGTAGATGCCTGTTGTAGATAATCATGACAATTAATTCTGTATCTGTGTTTGATTAGATCTAATAAATGTTAGACCTGGAGTCACATCGTCTGTCTTTTTACACGTTTATGATCTCAAATTCAGTTATCACTCCATGCCTCTTCTTCTCCAACTTTCCCTAACACTACATACATATCTTTCATTTAGTTTGTCTTCCACCTCCTCCCTGACCTGTGCTTGCATGGTAGCTGCTTTGTCTATGCGCTTCTGAGAAGCTTGTGGCGTCTGTGTCAGAGTAATTCTGATTTGTTTGTGTGTAGTTCTGATTGTTGTGTCTGTGTGAGAGGTCATTCAGTGGCGTTTGTGTTGTTTGTGTGTAATTCTGCCTGTTTTGTCTGTCTTGCTTTAGTCTGTCTTTCTAAGGGATTGCAAAATGTCTGTAACTTTCCCATAATTCCTAGGTTTTCCAGAACTCCCAGTTGTAGGACTCCCAGCTTTCCGGTTTATTCCTTCCTGATTCCAGGAATCTTCAAACCAGGATTTCTGGAAAACCTGGGAATTTTGAGAAGGTTACGGGAATTTTGCAACACTAGACTCTTTTGTTATTACTGCTTTCTGTAATGTACCTCAGCTAATGCATAATTATTTCTCTATGAGCAGTGAAGAGCTGTATCAGTCCTGCACATGGATTTCATTTTCTATACCCCCTACGAACTGGTCAGTTTCTAGTTCTCCACTATGTAGTAAGTCAGGTTGATAGTCATGGTTAGCCTGATAAGTTTGTGAATGCAGTCAACTAACTCCCGATAAATTACAAATTTGATTGAGTGCACTCTGCCGCAACAGTCCCAAGCTGTTGCATTTATCTGGAGTCAACTGTATATCATTCACTATCTATCTCTATTGGGGTGGGTAAGTCTGTCAAAACAAAATTAACAGTTGATAGTGGTGGGCAGGGCATCCATTGTAATCACCAACATTATGATCTGCAACCGTTATTTATTGTTGTCACAAGACAACCAGTTTAGCTGTGTGATTTCACTTCAGTCTTGTCTCACTGGTGTTCAAAAGCCCTATTAGAGTAATAACAACACGCTTTGATGTCCCAATTTAAAAGGAAGCCTTATCCAGCTGTGTTGTTTGAAGATCTATACAGCTAAAAAAGGAATTAAGAGAAGGCTAGAATTCAAGCTTTTATTTACATGGACTCATAAGTACTGTCTCAAAAAGCATTTGTTTTGTTTAAAATACTTGTGCTTGATTGAACTTGTCTGGAGCAATGGAACCAATGGAATAGTCCCCAAAGTGCAAACCCTGTCCATCTAGCACTCCAGGCAGTCTCAATCAATCGCTGAAAGTATTTGAAAGAAAACAAATTCTATTTGAACCCAGGCCTGCAGCTCAAAGGAAGGATCACTTCAAAGAATACAGAGGCCATCAGTCAGGTGGACACAACATGCCTAGCCCTGACCTTTTCTTAATAGCTCTGTCAATAGATATTTGTAAGGTGATATGTGTACACAAGTTGATATGGGAGGTTAGTATAAGCCTTGCAGTGAGTCTCTGCTCGTCTGTTCTGGTTGCAAACGCATCAGCCTGTCCCTGCCACCTTGGGAACCATGGTAACAGGTCCATCTTGCATGAGTTGACTGTTTTGCTGCAGAGAAACTATTGCTCTCTCTCGCTACATCTGAAAGGCAACATTTTACGTTATCATGGCTGTGTAAGTAATTACCTTTGACCCTTAAAGAGGACAAACTGACACAGCATCAGAGAGAAATGATTGTATGCAGTGTTTCAGGCACATTTCTGCATAAACTCAAAAAATTGGATGTTGTGTCAACAATTACATATAAATGTCATAATCTCCTACTTCAGTCAATCAAACTACAGTCTTCTTAATCATTATGATGAGTAGAAATGAAATCATTCCTCTGTTACTTTATGGCTACTGTCAATACTACCACCCTCTGCTGGTGAAAGTGTTTCCCACAGGTTAACAGAAGCCAGAGAGAAAACAACATTATCACAAACCAAAGGTTTCATCAAATAATAGCAGCCTACGGTCTATGTTCCCTGGGGTTTACTTATAGGTGTGGAACGGAGTTCACCTCAACCTTGAATTAGTGGTTAATTAACTAATTAAGTTAAGGATGAAAAAGTTAGTTATTCTTAGTCTGGTCCCAGATCTGTTTGTGCTCTTGCCTACTCCATTGCTGTCAGTCAAGCCTAACATGTTTGCATGACAGTGAGTGTTGGCATGATGGCATCAACAGACTGATACTCAGACTTAGTGGTTCTGGGGTCAGCTCCTATAGGATATCCCAATTCAATCCCTGACAACAACATGAATGTAAACTCATGTTGAAAACAAAACACTGGTCTGTTAGGGTCACCCCACCTGACGTGAAATAACAATCTGTATGACCTCATGAGTGTGATGTGTTGAGATATATTTACCATTTTAATATCTAAAAGATATAATCTGTTATCTATTTTAATTATGTTTTTCCTTTCCGTGTAAAATCAAATGATGGTTGTGCATCTGGTCAGATAAGCATGTATTGCTAGTTATCTTTTAAATTAATTATTTAGTCCACTAGAGGGCGACAGTATGTAGTTAAACTGTTCTTCCACAGCCATGCATTGCATCAATCTCATCTGCCATACTAGGGCATTTGAGGATAAACCCAAACATGTTCCATTTTCTAGTCATAGCAAAGAACCAATACATAAATACATAAAATTGGACATCATCCCATTTCTCGTTGCCAGTGTTTTCACTGTAGTTTTCATATGAAGTGCAGGTGTACAGTGAGGGAAAAAAGTAATTGATCCCCTGCTGATTTTGTACGTTTGCCCACTGACAAAGACATGATCAGTCTATAATTTTAATGGTAGGTTTATTTGAACAGTGAGAGACAGAATAACAACAACAAAAATCCAATAAAACGCATGTCAAAAATGTTATAAATTGATTTGCATTTTAATGAGGGAAATAAGTATTTGACCCCTCTGCAAAACATGATTTAGTACTTGGTGGCAAAACCCTTGTTGGCAATCACAGAGGTCAGACGTTTCTTGTAGTTTGCCACCAGGTTTGCACACATCTCAGGAGGGATTTTGTCCCACTCCTCTTTGCAGATCTTCTCCAAGTCATTAAGGTTTCGAGGATGACGTTTGGCAACTCAAACCTTCAGCTCCCTCCACAGATTTTCTATGGGATTAAGGTCTGGAGAATGGCTAGGCCACTCCAGGACCTTAATGTGCTTCTTCTTGAGCCACTCCTTTGTTGCCTTGGCCGTGTGTTTTGGGTCATTGTCATGCTGGAATACCCATCCACAACCCATTTTCAATGCCCTGGCTGAGGGAAGGAGGTTCTCACCCAAGATTTGACGGTACATGGCCCCGTCTATAATTTTAATTGTAGGTTTATTTGAACAGTGAGAGACAGAATAACAACAAAATAAAACGCATGTCAAAAATGTTATAAATTGATTTGCATTTTAATGAGGGAAATAAGTATTTGACCCCTCTCAATCAGAAAGATTTCTGGCTCCCAGGTGTCTTTTATACAGGTAACGAGCTGAGATTAGGAGCACACTCTTAAAGGGAGTGCTCCTAATCTCAGCTTGTTACCTGTATAAAATACATCTGTCCACAGAAGCAATCAATCAATCAGATTCCAAACTCTCCACCATGGCCAAGACCAAAGAGCTCTCCAAGGATGTCAGGGACAAGACTGTAGACCTACACAAGGCTGGAATGGGCTACAAGACCATCGCCAAGCAGCTTGGTGAGAAGGTGACAACAGTTGGTGCGATTATTCGCAAATGGAAGAAACACAAAATAACTGTCTATCTCCTTCGGCCTGGGGCTCCATGCAAGATCTCACCTCGTGGAGTTGCAATGATCATGAGAACGGTGAGGAATCAGCCCAGAACTACACGGGAGGATCTTGTCAATGATCTCAAGGCAG